AATTTATGAATAAAAAAAATGTTTTCATATATCTTTATAAATTGGTAAATGATAAATATTGCATTAGTTTTAATTGTATCAGTATTTTTAGAATGTTGTAAATATAAAATTCTAATAATGAACAGTGTTTAATATTTTTGTTGTAAATTCTCAAGAACAAAAACAAATGTATAGATTCACTTTCATGACATGTTTAGTTTTTACTCCAATTCTAATCATCACTTTAAAACAATAAACTTTGCCAAAGGGTGGAGGTATTTAAAATAAAGGGGGGTGCCAAAGGTGTGTGGGGGGGAGCCAAAAAACATGCTTCTAACACTCCATTTTTTTTTTTTTTTTTTGCAGACAAGAAAGTCCATGATTCCCCCCCCAAAAAAAATACCAGAAAATGCAAAATACCAGAAAATGCCTCAGCTGTATTTATTAAGAAACAGTGGGATTAGAGACCTGGAAATAAATGGGAAGACAGGGATTGTGAAATCTTTATTCAGTTGAGATAATCCAGGGTCAATCAAGATTATCAACCATATAGGCCAATATATTACTTGGTGTCATGTCATAGCAAAACACAAGAGTACATCCAGCTCTATCCAGTGAGAAGACAAAGTCAGGCCTATTCCCCTCCCCCCACTCCAACCACCACGTTGCTACCAGCCTTCCTCTTCTTGACCTGTCTTTCTAGTTATCTGACTAGTCATAGTGGAATTGCTTTATTGCTGCCAGAACCAAGAGAGTTCATTAAATGAGAGAGAATATATCAAGACAAAGTGGACAATGGTCCCAATTGGAATCAAGAAAATTGGTTAATTCATTCAGCTGTCTACAGCATGCTGCTTTATTTCAATTTACACTAGAACCACATTAACATCCCTGTGCTTTTTCTAGAAATATATTGGCAGTCTTTAACCTTTGTGTCGGTAAAAAAAAAAAAAAAAGTTTTAAAATATAAAATTATTATTGTAAATAAACAATCTAATAAATAAATAGTTTAATTATTTTGCTGTAAATTCTCAAATACAAAGAAAATGTATAAATTCAATTTCATATGTTCAAATTTTATTAGAATTCTATTAATCACTTTTTAAAACAAACATTTCCGAGGAGTGAATGTAGTTAAAATAATAACCATGTCAAAGGAGAAATCGTCCTTATGACACACCATTTTTTTTTTTTTTTTGCAGGCAAAATGTTAAAGGTTGCCAGTATTTTCATGGTAATTGTCCTGACAAGCTTCCTTCTTTAGGTACATAGACTTTATGAATTTAAGCATACTACTAGATTGGCCGCTCAGTCACATCATTAAAAAGTTGAAATGGCTAAATGTAACCATATGTTCTATGCTTACATTTTCTTCTCTCACACTTTTTGACAAACTTCTGGCCTCTTGCTCTCCGGCTAAATCTAATCATCAAAAATTTAAATGTGATGTCAATCATCATGTGTCTTAATTCCTATTCTTTTATCATTCTCTCTCTTTAATAATGTTTTTTTTTTTTTCTCATATTCTCTAACACTCAGTAATCCCTTGCATCTTAGTGGCTTTATTGCCTTGCTTTGGATGAAATGATTAGAAATAAACATAAAACATCAGATTAAAGGAAATGGTCAGCAGAAAGAAAAGAATGAGTGAGACATTGATCATTACCCTTATTTAATGAACTTTTGGTTCTGAAAAATTAAAAGACCTATTTCCTTTTAGGATTTAAAAACATTGGGATGGAAAAGAGCCGAGATACAAATCATGGTAATCAAAGACTGAATTAAGGTATTCAGTTTTATGGCACATTGACTGCCTTCTAATAGTCACTTGTTGGGCTGATAAAATACCAGGTACTACCAGCCCCAGTACCCCGTACAAAAAATTGGGAAATTTTTTGAGGGGAGAATAACATTTGCAGATTAGTATACATTAGACTTTCAAGCTACAACATCTTTAAGAGTTAAAAATATTTTTAGCAAAGTGAAAGAGTGTCCTGTTCATAATATATATATATATATATATATATATATATATATATATATATACACACACACACACATACATACACACAGAGTGCTAAATCAATCTCTGATTTCTTAGAGTTATCTGTACTTTGTCTTTATTTATAAGTATCAAGTTTGTGGTAATGTCATTGATAAATGTGTACTATTATGAACTTGGGAAAGGGAGGAGACATCATCAGTAGTTATCAATGACATTAGCACAGTTTCAAACTTGATGCTTGTAAATAAAAACAAAGTACAGATAACTAAAAAAAATTTCCCATGCCACTTCATATGCACAGAAATGTAATGATGTACAAAACAAAAATAAGAATAATTTGTATAATTCATAAACTGGGTCTTTTGAACAGGAGTAGAGGTTTATCCATTGTTTGGGTTTCAGATTCCCTCTAAAGTTTTCTCTTTCACTATCAGTAGCTCCTTGCGTCTTAGTGGCATTATTACCTTGCTTGGGGTGAATTCAAAAACACACACACAAAAAAACCCAACTCAACACAGACCCCAAGTTGAAGTTATACATATGATACATTGCTAAAAGATGCTGGAAAAATGGTCAGTTCACTGTACTGACTCCTCCTGCTATCCTCTAACTTTATAAGAGCCAGAACAGGCTAAAAAATACTAGTATACTAATAATAATAAAGTACTGCTACCATATATTGGCAGGAGCTGCCCAGTCTTCACTTTCCAATCTTGTTAGAGCCCAAAAGCCTCTTTGCATCCTTGTGGGTGATGAATTATTTTTATGGGAGATCAATTTGATACTGTATTAGGAACAGTCTCCAACCACAGAATGAAAAAAAAAAATCAGTATTTTTCGATTTTGACAAATGCTGTGGGTAGGGGAGCCTAAGCTTGATGGAACCTGCACTCAGATGTTGGGAGCTATATTAACATCACTTGGAGACAACATCCAACTAAATCACTGCTTTATGGACTCACCGTGGATGTTTCTACAATCTTATGTGAACACATGATACACTCACCAGAACACTGTTGGCGAGCAAAACAAGAACTTGTGAGTAGTCTACTTGCTCTGGACACCTAATCATGCCATAAGATGGGTTGGTCATCCAGCAACCACTTATATTGACCAACTATATAAAGACACCGGAATGCTACCCTAATGATCTTCCGACCTTGATGCTAAGCTTTGTCAATATGGATACCTCACTGTGGTTAGCAAGCTAGAGTAAAAGGCTGTGATTATTATAGCAAATTCTCTTCACTTTGGGTGTCCAATATCTGTGGCCTTGTGCAAGACTAAGCTTAATATTCATCAAGCTAATACATGTAGACAGCAATTGTTTTAACAGATATGTTCTCCCAAGGTGAATATTAGGGGTCCGAGAATTGATCTAATGGAGATACGTCAATCAGTAGAAAAAAGAAACAAGTTGTGGATGAAATAATGAAAGCATTATTATTGTAATGAGTTTGATCCTCACTAGGTGCTCTACATGTTTGGCCTTGTGCTCAACTAGTGGTTGTAAACTTTTTTTTTTTTTTTTTTTGGATGATATGCTCTTCTTCCCATATTTCTGATGGCCATTTGGCTTTCTCTTTACTTCTAAGATTGTCTACGGTTTTCAAACTGTTTTCCCAGACAAACCCTTTTCATCATGTCATATCGAAACATTAGTTTGGGTAGAATCACCAAAGTTAAGCAACATTGAGCTTTGTTAGTACCTAGATGGGTGACTGCTTAGGGATACCAGGTGATGTAAGCTTAGGTGCAGAGTGGTGAATGACAGCTTTGAATTGCAAAGCCGAGTACCAATTCCAATTTGTCATATTCACTCACAAGCAAACACACTTGGGAAAGGTATGATTCCAGCTCTTCTCTCCTCCATGAGTTAATTATTAAAACTTGTATCAGTAAATCATTATTATTGCAAAAGAAGATATTCTTACAATCTAAAACTATTTTCTGGCTTTAAATAACATGAACAAAAAAAAAATATCAATCTAATTTTTACCACTCTACAAACTTTTTAACCCATATGGTAGGTACTATGTAGTTTGAACAAAAATGAAAATTCTAACAGTCTGAGTCACTCCTAGAAAAATTCCCACCACTATACTAAAAGCTTCTTCAAAAGGTAAGTACTTGCAATATTCACCTGAAAAAGGCTGGAGAGTGGACAGGCTGAAAGTTAGTAACTAAAGCAGTTTAATAGTTTCTTCTATTGCACTTCTCACTTCTGGAACTCTCTTCCAGCTTCTTGCTTCCCAGTCAAATTTGATCTTCAAAAATTTAAATGCAATGTCAATTGTTATCTTCTGTTTTCTTAAATTCTGTTCTTTTATTGTTTCTCTCCATAATATCGTTTTTTTTTTTCCCTAGTATTCTCTCACATCTTAGTGGCTTTGTTTTGCTTGGAGTGAAATGATTTAAAAGAAATTAATAATTTTAGGAAAATCTATGACAAAGTGTTGATGGATTAGTATGAAATGGCTAGATATAAATGGAAGTTCTATGCTATCAGTTTCTTCTTTCTCATTTCTGGAACTCTTCTGGCTTCTTGCTTCCTATTCAAGTTTAATTTCTCATATTCTGTACATTCAGTAACCTTGCACCTTAGTGGCTTTATTGCCTTGCTTAGGGTGAAATGCAAAAAAAGGGCCAGAAATTGCATTGGCCAAAACAATTGAAAGATGAGGTTACCAGTTTGTAGATCCAATGAAATAATCAAAGGTAAACTACAAAGTTCCCATGATTTCCCTCAAACATTCATATCTGCTTGAAATGTATCTTAATGTAAACAAGTGATGTCACACACTACAAAATGGACTCAGTCCAACAATTATTTTTAATATATTTTATTGTTATATGTTATTTATATAGACACATATATTTAAGTAAATGCTATGTTTATAATAAACAGTATCGTAGGACACATAATCAAAGATGTATTATGCACAGATTCCCTGGTATTAACAAGAGAAATAAAACTTTTGAGAAAAAAAAATATATATATATATAAGAAACTTACCAAGAATATTGTCATGCCTGAGTAAGACAGTTTGGTAAAGCTCAGTTTCTCTGAACCAACTGTCTTCTTCTGTCGTAAGGAAAATCTTCACAGCTACATTCTCTCCTCTCCATTTTCCTTTCCATACTTCTGCGTACTTGCCTTTCCCTATCGACTTTATAAGGTGTATCTGTTTGGCTATCGTTCGCTGGACCTAGAAAACCAAAGAAAGAACACAATTCAAGAATAGTCATTTTGCAGATGAAAAGGAGAATAAAAAGGAACCTGGTGTTATAATGAATACCAACTATCTTGACTGTGATTTGAACATTGGAACAATGTAAGGTTAGTCTAATCGGAACACATTTGTTACAACTGGTAAAGTTTCCCCAGGCAGCTAACAAACTTTTTCTTGTCCCCTAATATAATCCTTTTCTTAAGCTTCTACCTCTGTGAAAAGCCATATTTTAAGGGTGTGCTTCAGCTGAGGTAGTTGTGATTGACTCACACCGTATCCTAACCATACAAAACCGATTTGAATAATAAAATCTGATATGTTTTCTATTTAAGTGCTTAAAGTGTAAAGTAAATTGAAAGCTATTGAGGTGTCTTAAAATAATAAATGACCAATGTCATTCTGCATAAAAAATATCAACTATTATCAACTGATTGTATGATATCATTCTATCAAAAGTCAGGGACCAGGTGTCAAGTTTATGACATTGATCATTTAGGTCTGTCACTTAATCTGCAATGATTCAATTCCTTGTTAAAATCAAGAACACTTATTTTTCTTGTTCAATTATCATTAAAATTGCAGGCCGTCATAGAATTAGCATTAAAATAGCAGGCTGTCCGATTAAACAAGAAAAAAAGCATGGATTTTATATTGCTTACAATAATTTGTACAGGTGTCAATCATAGTTGACCTCAGGTGGAGGTTCTTACTGCAATACTGTTGTTCACATGTTTATCTCACAAGCCTTTGATAGTGAATTTGTTCCAAAAACCCTAACCCTGCCAAAAATATCCAGACTACACTAAAAAGATGTCTCATTTCAACAAATAACCACAGGGCCCACCAAATTGGTCCAAATCTAATCTGCTACGAATTTGTCTTTATAATTAGCAAATCAATAAAAAAAATTAAAAAAGAAATTTATTAATAATAAAAATTCTGTTAAAAGTTATTCATTAAAATGTTATTACTATTTGACCTGCAAAAATGTTTCAAATATACAATGTTTGAAGATGGCTTATTTAGTCTGTTGGTACCATGCTTGAGTTGTGGGGATCTGACTATGACCAGAGAATTCTCCTTACAGACTTTGTTAAATTCAAAGTTGGATTGTTAAGTGATATCAGTGAAGAATTTGGGATTTCCTCTTGAGAAACACTTGACAAGAGACCATTCCGTCTCCACTGAATTAATAACCTTTATGAGCTTACCATACAGAACTATTTTGGGCATCTGTCATAATTCATCAAATGAATTCAAATCAACTTTCATCTAATGACAGTTGGAGATTCAAGATCAAAACACCAGGAGTTATAAAACAGTTCTTTAAAAAAAAAAAAAAAAAAAAAAATATGATGGTGCCTGAAAATGTAGCAAGGGTGGGTTGGGGTTAGCCCTCTTGTATTCTAGCAACCCCACATCTCAGGAAAATAAGGTAGAGTTATGTCCTGATTGAGAAGGGCAGGACACAGGGATAAGAGAAACCCTCAACCATAACATTAGTGACATCTGTGTGTAGGGTTCATAATTTTATATAAAAGATGCCTGTAAAGCATATATATATATATATATATATATATATATGTATGTATGAGAGAGTAGGAGGAAGATTTGGGGGAGGGAAAGAGAAGACAAATTTATAAAGTGTGGGGAGGACTTAGCAACAAGTTTTTCCAACACCCTACATACATACACTACGTGTGTTTAGACATAGAAATCAACACTGCATGGTGACTGGCAGTTTCATGTCCAAAGTTAGAATTAGATTTCTCATGCTAATGTTAAAAAGGTATAAAACTGCAAATCACCATTCAGTGTTGATTTCTATGTCCACATTTTGTATAACTGGAAAATCACTATCCTCAATATTGATCATCCTTTCTCCATAAATATAGCAAATTTTAAACATTATATACAGGGTGATTGAAAAGTAATTCCCTATTTTATGTATGAGTAGCCAGACTTAACACCCTGAGATGGGTTAGCTAAAGGAGCAAGTCTAATATACCAAACCAAAGACTGTGGGAGAAATTGAACAGTGAATACAAGAAGTTATGTCTTCCATACCACAAGAGTTCTTGGTGAAATCAGTTGATGCGATTCCTGGGCTGCTCAAGAAGCTGGTAGTGAAATCTGGTGCTCATATCGAATTTTAAATAAAACCTCATGCTAAACACTTTTCTCTCATATCCATTTCTTGTAAAAATTATAGTTAATAAATAAATTATAAGTATTTTAAAATGGGGAGTTACTCTTCAATCACCCTCTATGTGATGATGGACTCATTGATTTTGACATATGAGGAACTGATAAACACAGTTTTTTTGTTTGTATTGTATTTGCCACTTCAGACATGCTAGTGATTTTGTGCAACATTGAAGATCTCGAGACGTAGCAACAAGTATATTTGTTGATGCTTTTCGACGTTGTCGTGGCTATTAGCCAATTTTGATTTCAAAATTTCTGATACCCCTCTGGCACAAATATCTCCAGTTATTTATATCCAGGGAAACTTGCTCAAATACCCGAGTCCAACCGTCCTTTGTCCACTGTCAAGCTGGTTATACATGACGAGTTTAGGTATTCTGTTGTCACTCATCCTTGTAACATGACAAGCCCAACAATATAACTGCATCAGGAAAGACTCAATTCCACTAATGTTGCATTTTGTGAAAAGATCAGCATTCGACACCATATCGTCAAAAGTACAGCTACAGATTGCACAAACCTTGTGATGAGTGGACAAAATGATTACGAAAAGGTTTATCTATGAAACTCCAGAGTTGAAGTGCTGAATATAACATCAATCAGCTAAGAGACAAATTTTATTTGTATTAATCATTATATGAATAAATGGTAATAGTAATAATAGCTATTTCCTTATAAGGAAACATTTGGTATTCAATGACCAAGCAGCCAGTATTATTTCCAGTTGAAATTTATAAAATTTAAAACAATTTTTCAGGAAAATAGGTTTCACAAGTCCAGTAATTATGATTATTTCCAGTATTGATTGGTTTGAGGGGGCTTCTGAACCTCCTATTTGAAGTGATTGGGAATATCAACATCTTGATTAAATCATTTTCTCTTCAAGTTACATGTGCTATGCATTTTAGTTGTTGCTTCTGTTGGTAATCCTTAAGTGATGTGATTTCTCTTCTTTGCTACAGTTCTTTGTGATTCTATAGCACCAGCACACAATGTTCAAAGGAGCATAGTCTTTGCAAAGATTCCTGGCTTCAATTGCTCAAAGCCATTTTTAACTATTGATCTTAGAAAGCAGTTGAATACAATTGAAAGAGCAGGATCATATAGAATGGAGGTTAGCTCCGAAAAATCCAAAGTAATGGTCATTAGCACAAACAGTAACACCTGTGTCAAAATTACCATGAATAGGAATTCACTGGAGGAAGTGTCCAGTTTTAAATACTTAGCAACAATCTTGTCTAAAGATGATAACTGTAATACAAAAATCGGCACACAGATTGCCGCAGCAATGTAACCTAATCTATAACAGCATTCACCTAGGGTGGGTTGAGCCGGCTCCAATATCAGAGTTTCATGGGAATTTGGAATTCACGAGTGGTCCCCAACCTGCATGTATAGCACATAAGATTTGATTATAGTAGTGAAGGTTTTGTGCAGGACCATCCACACTTTTTGAAGGGCCGATTACAGAGGCCTGGTGCACTACGTGCCACAAGGTCCCCAAACGGCCCTCCACAGGTTTTGAATTCAGTTTTCCTTCTTCTAGACCAGATGCCATCCAAGGCTATAGAACCCAGTCTGTCCTGCTATTTACCCATAGTTGGAGGGAGAAGAAGAGGATTCACACCTTTCCCAAGGGTATTAGCACGTAAGTGAATGTAATGGATTCGACTGGAATTCGAACTTGGCTCTCCGATTCCTCAATCCAAGCCGCTATCCATTACTCCAGCGTGCCTCCTTTAGGAGGCAGCAATGGCCAAATTGACAAAAATATGAAGGAAAATCAGCTTTCAAATGAAATACAGACTGTGTAAATTGCTGGTAGTTTCCATTCTCCTATATGGATGTGAAACGTGGACACTGTTAGCAGAGAGAGAGAGAAGGATCCAAGCATTTGAGAAACAAATGCATGCGAAAACTCCTTGGCATCTTCTATTGGTAATATAAAACCAATGGGAAAAGAGTTGAAAGTTTTGTGAGCTACCAGGAACCACTTCTCACTACTGTCAAACATAGAAAAATGACATTGTTTGGACATATTACAAGGTACGACCATCATGCAAGGCACCATTGAAGGTAGATGTAGGAGAGGACACCAACACAAAAACTGGTTGGACAATGTCAAACAACAGACAAGTATGACTAAACCAAAATTGCTAATGGCTGCTGTGGATAGACTGTTGTGTAGGGGATTCAGTGTGGCTTCTGCATTTGGATCCTCCCTTATGATTACAAAAGTCAAGGGGATGGGGGGAGGGATGATGATGATGATGTATATAACTGACAGTTGAGATATTTCTGAACCAGTTTAGTGCCATGCATGGCATCCATATGAAAATCTCAATCTGATGAGGCTATTTAAGAAAACGACTTGAGTTTTCAGGTTAATGTTTTGGTTTTGTAGCAATTTGTGGTATTGGGAGAAACTATCTCTAGTACAATATTCAATTTCCTTTTCTCCTATACTAAATTTGTTATAACCGATCCATACACTAAGTTATTTGAAAAAAATGTTATATATCTCCAAATGTAAAGAGAATGAAACAAATATAAATTCAAATGTTCATAGCATTTAAAAGAGAGCAATAATTATTTATTATAAGTTATTACATTTGAACATTTAAGTTACCACTAAAAAAAAATGCATAGTATTTACATTAGTCGGACTATTGTCCTCATCTAAAAGGCCATATTTGTCCTGGCGTTTTGCCGTTGTACCTCCGGCCCTTCTTCAGGTGGTTGGAATTTCGAGCTGAAGAAGGCGGAGC